AAAAGTGAAATTCCTTTAATTAAAAAGCCAAGATTACGCCGGGCGGTGGTGGCGCACGCCTTTAATCCCAGCACTCGGGAGGCAGAGCCAGGCGGATCTCTGTGAGTTCGAGGCCAGCCTGGTCTCCAAAGTGAGTTCCAGGAAAGGCGCAAAGCTACACAGAGAAACCCTGTCTCGAAAAACCAAAAAAAAAAAAAAAAAAAAAAAAAAAAAAAAAAAAAAGCCAAGATTTACACACAGTGTCACAAAAGAAGACAGTGAAGGAAATGTTGGTGTTTCCGTGTGTGTGTGTGTGTGTGTGTGTGTGTGTGTGTGTTTGTGCGCGCGCGCCAGGCTTCTTAAATGTAGGCTCTAAGAATCTGAACAAAGGTCCTCATGCTTATACAACAAGCCCTTTACCAGCAGAGCCATCTTCCCAACCTATCCTCAGACAGAATTTTTAGTGACTTTTTGACAGAAAGGAAACATCACAAGACACTTTCAGATTACAGCAGGATGGATCTAGCATGTAACCCAAAAGGCCATGTGTTAACAGCTTAGTCCCAATGGTGGTACTATTGGAAGGTGCTGGAACCTCTAAGAGGAGACCTATGGGAGGTTTTCAAAGTCATTATGCAAGCCCTTAAAAACAACAGTGAGAGTCCAGCCCTCATCCGTCCTGCCTGGGTAATGAGCCGTGCAGTGTTGCTCTAAGGCTCTTGCTGCGATATGCTACCTCCCCACAGTCCAAGTGACCATAGGCTGAAACCGCCACAATTCTGAACCAAAACAAACCTTTTAAGGCTGGGCATCATTCAAAGACTGATACAGGGGGGTTACAGAAATTTCTAGGCCGGCCTGAGCTATAAAGAGATGCTGTTTCAAAAATAAAATACAAAGCTCGGTGGTGATAGCACACACCTTTAATCCCAGCACTCGGGAGGCAGAGGCAGGGGGACCTCTGTGAGTTCTAGGCCAGCATGGTCTACAGAGTTCCAGGACAGCCAAAGGTACACAAAGAAACTTTCTCAAAAACCAAAATAAATAAATAGGTACATAATTAAATAAATACAAAAACAAATTTAAAAGTCAAAGTAAATATTTACTCTTTACAGGTTACCTCAGGTAATTATTATAGTGACAAAAAGTTGACTAAGCTTCCGGGTAAGGTGTGTGGAAAAAGTGTGTGAAATAATTTGTTGGCCAAAAACACAGCAAATAAATACAGCATCTTGCTGTCATGTATATCCTTACCATCTGGCTGGCACTCCAAGCCCTATGACTTATAAGAGATATATTTCACTACATCTGCTCCCATTCTATGAGAGTCTAAACACACTTAATAGCTGAATAATTTATAAGCCTATCTATAGAAACTAAAGACATACTCTGTAAAACATCCAGCCTTGGTGCATATTTATAAATAACAGTATTAATCGCTTAGCAGCCAAATACAGAGGTACTTCATTTATGACTATAGCCATTAGTTTTATAGTTTTTCAAAATAGTGAACAATTCTTGACCAAGTTCTGAATGATGGGATAATCTCCCTAGATGGATACATGTGATAAGTCAATGCACTGAGGGTTACAATTGATGGTTTCATGTTTCCATGCCTTTTGCCTTGAATCTTGGTAATCTTTCCCACTGGTTCTGGGTAGGAACATGTAACACAGGATTAAATTATATGTGCATATGGTTGTATACATGCTTGCCATTATATAAATGCCTGAGTGACCATATACAGCACATGGCATGCAAGTAAGTTCTATTCGATACATTATTACAAGTTATCCATCACTCATCCATGGTGCTTTCCAGATTAAATTAACAATGTTTCCAATAGTAAAAACACTCAAACACATCCTCCAGCACACTGAAACTTTACCATGGTGAATCAGAGGGAAAAGAAAAGACCTAAGAACACTGCCAAAACCAATATACTTTCTGATCTCCTAATTCAGAATCACTCATCTCCAGACATAAATTCATTCATGTACAAGATGTATGACACTGATATTTTAATCCTAAATATATGGTTTAAGTATGGCACTGTTTTAAAAAGATTTTTTTGGAGGGAGGGGATAATCAGGCAAACAGACAAGACAGACATAGCATACAGGGCTCTTGGTGGTCAGAAGAAGGCATAAGATCCCCTCAAGATGGAGTTATAGGCAGTTGTGAACTGCCTGTCTTGGGTGCTGGGAACTGAACTCAAATCCCTATACTGAACAGTATGTGCTCTTAACTGGTGAGCCATGCCATCCAGCTTTGTAGCTTCCTATATTGTACTCAAATCATCTACTAACTCAAAATACTTTATTGCTGGCCAAAATGAAAAACTTTAAAGTGTGCTCTATTCTCTTAAATATGTATTTTAGAACATTTCACAATTGTGAATTCATTCTTCAACATTTTAGAAACAAAAATACATGTGCATCATAGTAGGCAAATAATTTCTTTTGGTTTTAGACAGGGGTCTCATGCAGCCCAGGCTGGCCCAGAATTTGCTATGTAGCCAATGATGACCTTGAGTTTCTGATCTCTCTCTGAGTGCTGGGTTTACATATGAACTACGCAATGCTTAGTTCGTTAGGTAAATTAAGTAATCATTCTAAAGCATTGGGAAGAGAATAATATTTGTACGCCTGACATCCTATTTTCTTCCTAGAAAACAGGAGTTTCCTGTGAAATAATGTTTTTATCAACCAAGCTGAGCTAACCCACTCAGCCTTGCCAAGATTAAAAAAGGCATAACAGTGCACACTTTTGATCCCAGCAGCAAAGGGAGGTGGATCTCTGTGAGTTCGAAGCCAGCCTGGTTTACATAGTGAGTTCCAGGACAGTCAGAGCTATATAGCGAGACCCTGTCTCAAAACCTCCCCTCAAAAACAAAACAAAGCAATTCCATGCTCTGTGGAGGCCCACAAAGGTTTCCTAGTGAGATCTGGGCTTGCTTTACCCAGCAGGGCTGCTTTAGTGGATTGTTTTACCATATATGTGGTTACAAGGTGATTGGAAGAGTCTACACTTGGCTGTGCTAGGGGGAGGCCTTTTGCCCCACCCCTTGGCATTCCCATAAAAGGCCCTTTAGAAGAGACAGAAGGGGCCGGTGGATAATGATCCAGGCCCTCCTGAGGCTATCCTGTGTTTCTATCTGTTTCTCTCCCCTCTATCCTTCTATCTAAATATTTCTCACTTCACCCTCTTCAAGAGTATCCTGGGGAAAAAGTGAAAGGGGGCCTCCCACAGACAAATGGGCAAAGCTCCCCATAATGCTCTATTAATTTTACCCATGTTTACAATAGATCACTACTTTTATTAGTAACAAAACTCAAATCTAAAAATAAATAAGCAAACAGCATGAGATTACTGAAAGCCCATTAGAGATCACGGTTCCCCTATGACACTATGCTACCCTTCAGAATTAGGGACCTCTCGCTGTTGGGCACCTGTAAGCACTAGACATCCATCACATACATCTAATTAAAATGTTAGTTTGAAAGGATGGATGGCCTTGAGAGCTCCTCTAGTAAGACCTGAACAAGTTTAGAGCAGTATGACAGAGCTAGCTCTTCTCTTCCTTCCTCCTCCCTCAGGATACTGACACCCACCAAAATTGCCTTCTACGGCTAAGTTTTTTTGTTTTTTTTTTTTTTTTTTTTGGTTTTTCCAGACAGGGTTTCTCTGTGTAGCTTTGCACCTTTCCTGGATCTCACTCTGTAGACCAGGCTGACCTCGAACTCACAGAGATCCACCTGTCTCTGCCTCCCAAGTGCTGGGATTAAAGGCGTGCGCCACCACCGCCCGGCTCTACGGCTAAGTTTTAAGTACCTAGGTTTTACTTCTAAGTAAAGTTTTAAGTACCTAGGTTTATTACGGGGAAACACTTAGGCATTAATTCCAAATGCATTATCAAATAAGAACTTTCTTAAATATCTAAATACAGAACACAAAAATAACATTTTGAGACAAGGAAACATCATTTTAAGCAACTAATTAAATCATATTAAAATGACTGCAACAAAGTTGAAAACTGCAAAATACTTACTTCATTTCCATGTTTTTGCAGGAATTCAATTTCCTGTTGTGTAAATGTTGTCATGGAGATAGATTTCACCCTGTGAGGTGGATTTAGTCCTCTCCTAAAAGATAAAATATTTTACAAAATTTAGTACTGTATATTTTTAAATTATTCAAAACATTTTAGTGTATTTAAACTTATAAGTATTTTCATTCCATAAACAGAATTATTTAACATTAAACTATTGCTTATCATACAGATACAGTAAATTTAGCTCCACAGTACTAGCATTCAAACTGCCACAATCTTCCTTTGATTTACATTTAGTTTTGATTTTTATTTAAAATGTATATCTATTGTGGGTGGGGACATGTGCATGCACTTGTTCAGCAGAGAGCAGCACATGTGGAAGTCAGAGGACAATCTGCAACAGTCAGTTCTCTCCTTCCACCATTTTGGTCCAGGTCCTAAGAATTGAACTCAGGTCACCAGGCTTGGCAGCAAGCATCTTTATGCATTGCTCTATGTAGCTGGCCCAGATAGATAAACTCTTTTTTAAAAGAGTGTTTACAAGGAAGATAGAAAAGTAAAAGCTTTTCTGGAATAAGGAGAGGCAAAGTAGCAAAGTAATAGGAAGTAGGCATTGAGAAGGGGATTTTTTTTTAGGTTAAAAACAAAATGTGGCTGGCCGGGCAGTAGTGTTGCACACCTTTAATCCCAGCACTTGGGAGGCAGAGCCAGGAGCATCTCTGTGAGTTCGAGGTCAGCCTGGTCTACAGAGCGAGATCCAGGACAGGTACCAAAACTATACAGAGAAACCCTATCTCAAAAAAAAAAAAAAAATGTGGCTGGTGAGCTAACTCAGCAGGTTAAGACACTGGTGACCAGAGCTCAACCCCTAGAACTCACATCATCCTGAGAACAGCTGACTCCCACTAGTCACACACATGACCTCTGTCCTCCACACAGGTGCTGTGGCACACCCACACCTGCACACATACACAAAATAAATATTAAAAATTTTAAAGAATAAAAAACAGTATCAGCAACAAATAACCAAGAATGAACTATATTATGCAAAGCAACTGGCCAGAAAAATGTAAGTTATTAATGTAAAAGAAAATACTTACAAAGCACCTACACAGGCACTTAGTATATTTACTATCTTCTTTTGATGCTAACAGTATGACAGACAAGATATTCTTTTGGTTTTGTTGTTCATTTGTAATAATGTGTGTGGATTGGGAGGTATGTAGATGCCAGTAAAGGTGCCAGGAGGCCAGAATAGGGTACAGGAATCCCTAGAACTGGAGTCCAGGCCAGCGTGAGGTGCTGGAAACCAAACTCAGGCCCTCTGCAAGAATAGTACAGTCACATAATTGCTGAGCCATTTCTCCAGGACGGGGAAGAGGTGAGAAGGGAGATGGGACACTTTTCAAATCCCAATTTCTTGAAATGAAAACTTATAAATGTGAAAGTTAAATTTTCAGCAAACCAGTTAAAAAAGCAGATTAAACATATCTGAACAAAGGCCTGGGTGTGGTGGCGCACACCTTTGATCCCAGCACTTAAGAGGCAGAGGCAGGTGGAGACCTGCCTGGTCTACACAGCAAGTTCCAGGACAGCCAGGACTACATAAGGAGAGCCCATCTTAAAAAAGAACAAAAAACAAAATAAACATACCTGAGCAGAAAATTAATGAACCAGAAGACAGAAAGGCAAAAAAGGATAAATAAACCAGAAGGTAAGACAAAGACAAAAAAGGAGGCTATGATTAGGAAGCCTCAGAGACATCGAAAACCAGTTCCACAGCTAGAGAGCTAAAGGAATGAAGAAGATACATCTGAAGAGACAATGGCTGAGGTTTTCAGATCCAATAAATGAGCTTAACAAAACTGTGAAAAATAAAATCTACAGTTAGAAACACTCTGTCAAAATTTCAAAGACTTTAAATGAAATTATAAGCACTTTTCATCGGGATGAGAACATTATCTTCACGTGGTAAAGGAAATAGCTGCTGTGATCCAGAAAAGCCATTACTGAAGAACAAGATAAAAATGGCAGTAGTTTCAGATTTAAAAAAGTTTTTACCCAGGAGACTTTTTAGTAAAGAAACTTACATCATACACACTTTAAAAAACAAAACTACAGGCTGTGTGGTGGTGGTGCACCCTTTTAATCCCAGCACTCGGGAGCCAGAGACAGGCAAATCTCTGTGAGTTCAAGGCCAACCTGGTCTACAAAGCGAATTCCACAGCAGCCAGGGCTACACAGAAAAACCATGTCTGGAAAAACCAAAAAAAGAAAAAAGCTACACAAAATTTTTGAGATGCAAAGGAATAAACACAGACAGACCCCAGCAAACAGGCAAATTTAAACATACAATGTCAATCTGTAAGAGTAAAGGGGGACACATTTAAAGGTTTTAGCAATAATAATACCTGAGAAAGCATTTCATATTTCCAACTATATATTATCAAATTAAAAATACTGATTAATCACAGAATGTTAGTATGAATAACAGTTTCAACAGTGACTAGTAAGTATGGAATTTGCAGCTTCCAAAACCAGTGTAAGAGAACACCAGGACAAGCCTGTTAAAGATAACACACACACACACACACACACACACACACACACACACACACACACACACACACACACTACATGACCTTGTAGTAAAGGTCACAAGTGAGATATAAATCTACATTTGCACTCAAACTTGCCTACTTCTGTTTACACCTTCTCTAGTCATACACAACAGAAATTAGAAACAATCTAATTGCCTCTCACACAAGGAATGGCTTTTAAAAAAAGTCATGTAACAGGGTGAAATAAAGAGTGAAAAGGACAAGCTACTGCAGGCAAGTCTGACTTAACCTTACAGGTATGGTGAGTAAAAGTGAGCAACCGGAAAGCTGTTCTCAGAACCAAAGTCAGATCCTAGTCAGGGAGAGAGAAAAAGCCTAAGAGTTTTACAGGCTGATGGAACACCTCCATGTTCTGATTGTAGTGGTAGTTACAAGGAAACACACACACACACAGAGTGTTGGGGGGGAGGGGGTGTCTTAGAACTCTATGAAGAAATTTACACTGTTGTGAGCTTGTTTTCCCTGAGACAGGGTCACACAGTGCCCAACTCCACCTACAACTCGGTCTGTAGCATGCTGTCCTTAAGCTCCTGATCCTCCTTCTGCCTCCATTTCCTAAGTGCTGGGATGACAGGTGTGCAGCACCATGTCCAGCTAGCAGATTGTGTCTCTACCTACCAAATGTAATCTCTTAAAAACAAAAACAGAATCCTGGTCAGGGCAGTGGTGAACATCTTTGATTCCAGCACTTGGGAGGCAGAGGCAGGAGGATCTCTGTGAGTTCAAGGCCAGCCAGGTCTGTTACACAGTAAAATCCCGTCTTGAAAAACAAACAACAAACAACAAAAACAAAGAAATAAAGGAGAAAAAAAGAAAAAGAAAAAAAAAGCCAGAATCCTTAACGGGTCAAAACTGACATATTCTTAGCATGTACTACTCCTGGAAGCTGATGCCACTTCTCCTCATGCTAGTCTACTTATCACATGAATACAGTGCTTACAAAATAGCTCATTATAATGATATGAGTCACACTATCTGATGAAAGCATTGGGGGGAAAAAAAGTCACATCATTTTCTTCAAAGCCAATACTAAAGCAATGCCCACCCTGAACTCTAAAAATACGTATTTTCAGTCTCCAAATTTGGGCCAACAATTTTTGACTCATTTAGTAAGTGCAACATTGATGTTTTGAAAGCACGTATGCCAGTGAATTGGCTTTAATTTCCAAAGTAACCTGCCAGTGGAGCCCAATATGTTTCTGCAGTATAATTAAGTCATATACAGATCCCCAGGAGTTTTGTTTTAATGACCACCACCCAGGTATGACTGTAACCAGATGGTATGACTCACTGAGTATGTATGTCTGCCAGTATGCTCTTAACTATGCCTCAATCTTTCAAATAGTCATTTGTTCAATTCAAGTACCAATCTGTGCTAGATGAGTAAGAAAGCTCCTCTGGTTGATTTATTAATAGTTTTTTTTCCCTACTGAGGGAGAAGCTGTTTAAAATATTTTAGCAGGCTACGGAAATGTATGTGGTTGTTAATACTACTGTCAGAAAGTAATAAAGTTAATTTGACATTAGGTATATCCTAATCCTAGTTATTTACTTAAAATAAATCACATATATCACATTATAAAAATTACACATTTAGCCGGGCAGTGGTAGCACATGCCTTTAATCCCAGGACTTGGGAGGCAGAGGCAGGCGAGTTCGGGGCTGGCCTGGTCTACAAAATGAGTTCCAGGACACCTAGGACTGTTACACAGAGAAACCCTGCCCCCCCCAAAAAAAAACAAAAACAAAAACACATTTAAAATCTGAAACAGATATAAGATGCCTTTAGTAGGTTAAGATTCTACAAACTGTAGGTTCCAAGACACCTATGTACTTAGACTGTTCACCCATCCAGAGTGCAAAATCAGCCTCCTTCTGTGTGTGTGTGTGTGTGTGTGTGTGTGTGTGTGTAAATGTAAGGCACAATAGTTATTTTGTTTGTTTGTTTTTTCGTAGAAAGCCACAATCACAAGATCCTTATAATACTCAGGGCAACATCTAAAAAACAATACTCAAGTAATGAACTGATACACAGCAGTAACAGTGATGAACAAAACGAACAGCAGTGTATTCATTAGATCTTCAATACCCCACTGGAAGGACAGCACAGAGTAAAAAGATCAGTCCACAAGAAACAAGGGAATGAGAAACACTGAAGAGCCCCTACAAACTCTGTTCTTTAATAGCAAACTTTGGAAGAAGAAAAAACTAAACATGCCAAGCCAGGGCCTATAGTTACAGCCTCTCAGGAGGCTAAGGCAGGAAAGTCACCTGAGGCCAGGTGTTCAAGACCAGCTTGGACAATACAGTGAGTCCTTGTATGAAAAACAAAGCAAGCAAGCATAAACATGCCAGCAGCAGCTGACTGTAGTTAGCCATAAGAGAGCTCCTGCAGAATGGGAGGAGCCAAATGGGTGACACTGATTCCCACCACAGGACCCCCCACACACAGCAAGATAAACTGAGAATGGACGCAGCTAGAGTCACAACCCAGCACCGTCCCTCAAGAGCCACCAGCCTACCCCCTCAATAGGCCCTGAGCAAAGTCTGAAGGAAAGTTTTCGCTAGACAAATTCTATGAAAGACTGTGGACACAAGCATACTGGGGATTTGTTGGCCTCCATGCTAAAAACTGACTATCGGACATACCTAATACTGAACGGCAGATTTCATGTCCACAACCTGACTCCAGAATAGTGGAAGCCAGGCTTTTTCATTTCAAAAGGAGGACAGCACACACCTCTGAAGTTCATTAAAATAAATAAATAAATAAATAAATAAATAAATAAATAAATAAATAAATAAAAAATTGAAAAAAATAAAAAAGAATTCCCAAATCAAGTATTAAAAGAATTTTAATTAAAAACCTTTTCAACTTAATAGAGAAACACTGCTGGAGCCATGGCCCAAAGCAAGTTTAGCAGTGAACACTTCAAGTCCATTGGTTAAGATACGGCTTCTAGGGGGTGGGAGGAGGGAGGGCAGGGGAATCTGTGGCTGACATGTAAAATTAAATTAATTATAAAATAAAAATATTTTTTAAAAAAAGATATGGCTGCTAGTAACCGCAATGCAAAACATGGGAAAGAGACAGAATGAAAGATGAACAGTTGAAGAGGAAAAGCCTCCAGAGCATGTACACTGGGTCAACACTGGTGAAAGGGAGGGCCAGGGACTTCCTTGGAAGGGGCAGGATCTACTATTGACAGTATTCGGAAGCCAAAGAAAACAAGATTGTGGAAGTTAACCAACCATTTCTTAATTCTCAAAAAAAAAAAAAAGGAAAGTAAAGAAAAGGGTAAAGGAAAGTAACACAGAAACATTTTTATAGGATACTGAAACTGATGCAGCTGTTAGGTCTCAAACCTAGGACAACAGAGGAACCTATTTAACATATCAAAGCAGACCTGGCCACCAAGTTCTCCCAGCATCCCTCAGTCCCTACCTGTTACAGGGTATAGCTGGTATACCTCACCCCCTATCCTAAAGTTCTCCAGCCCAAGGGCTGGACTGCCCTCCCTATATAATCCAGCCATTTTGGCTATCAGGCCCTTTGTGTCCATCCTCCTGACCTCTTGGTCTCCTAGCTTTCCCCTTTGCCCTCCTCCCCTTTTCCTCACATGGCCAGGCTCAGGGTCATGTCCACTCTGGACTCTCCCTGATGTCTCTGCCTCTGCTGTGCCCTCCCCCATATCTACAATAAACAATCTCCTCCACCATACCTAGGAGCAGTCGTGTCCTTCCTTTTCTATTTCCCTTTTTCATTCAATGGCAATGCTGCTGACAAATCAAGAAGCTTCAGCGAAAGTCTCCACAGACAGGAGTGGATGAAATGGAAGCATTCAGAGGGGTGGTGGGTGCCAGCAGGAGGCAGAGACGAATACCCTCAAACTGTAACAAGACTAACTAGGCACTCTTGTCCAGAAGATCAGCTCACTAACTGCTGGCACTGTTTTCTGACACGTGTGTGTGTGTGTGTGTGTGTGTGTGTGTGTGTGTGTGTGTGTCTGCGCTCGTGTCTAATCTGGGTTGTAAAATAGTAACTACAGTGAACTACACTCTACCTATCAAGTGTGGCATGTGGGATCTGGAAGTACTGACAGCTGTTGAGATTTATTTTTCTTTGTTTTTGTTTTGCATCAAAAGCACCAGTTAAGAGAGTAAATGAAATGAAAGCTTTCTGGAGTTGCTCCCTTTGACAAAATCAAATATTTGATACCATAGTGTATTCCCCCTTGTATTGAAGAACAGCATTTTCTAAATGTTGGGGAACCCCCTAGTCATTACTCAATCAGAACTTATTTTTGTTTGTTTGTTTTTTGTTTTTTTTCGAGACAGGGTTTCTTTGTGTGGCTTTGGAGCCTGTACTGGATCTCACTTTGTAGACCAGGCTGGACTTGAACTCACAGAGATCCGCCTGGCTCTGCCTCCCGAGTGCTGGGATTAAAGGCACCACCGCCCGGGCAGAACTTATTTTTAACTGGTATGCAGAAGGACCACTCTGGTAGTTTTTGTTTGTCTAGATACTTATGTAAGTAAATATTTTAAAAGTATTCACCAGCCTAACAGTGGCACATGCCTTTAACCCCAGTCCCAGGGAAGGAAAAGCAGATGAGTCTCTGTGAGCTGGAGACCAGCATGGTGCATCTACACAGCAGGTTCCAAAACAGCTGGAGAGATGGCTCAGCAATTAAGTCTCAAGGGTTAAGAAAACATACTGTTTTTGTTGAGGACCAAGTTCAATTCCCAGCACCCTTATCAAGTGGCTTACAACTGCCTGTAACTCCAGCTCCAAGGGGATCTGATGTCTCTGGCCTCCAACAGCACCCCCACTCCCATGTACGTACAGACACACACACACACACACCCTACCTTTGTCCAATTAAAATTTAAAATAATCTTTAAAGAAATGATACTTCACCAAAACAAAAACCATGGTTCATAGTCCACATCTATGAGAATGCATCATTCTGAGAAACCTAAGAAACTTTCATAAGAAAGGCCCATTAAGGGAGATTCCTCTGGCCCAGAGAATGAAATCACTTGCATCTGTGGAGACCTAACATTCCAGTAGAGCCTGGGCCAGGGGACCACCCTAGCAGGCTCACCTTAAGCCATGCTGCAGAGCTAGGTGGAAGCTGTACTTTTCCTCCCTAGAATCCCATCCCTACTGCAGCAGCTTCCAAAGTCCACCCACTTTCCTGAATCACTGAGGAACAGCCTGACTTCTCCCTTCTTTCTCCTTTGTAAGCATGCTTCCCCTAGCACAGGTTTTCCCCAGGACTCTGGGCTTTCTCACTTCTCTAAATCCCGCTCCCTACTATGTGCCCGCTTGTCTCTCTCCCACATGTCTGACCCCATGTCAGTTAAATGGCATGGTCTTCTTCTCTCCTCCTTCACAGCTTGCCTTCCCAAGGAGTTTTCCTTTTAAACTCTAATAAAGTTTTCTTGGAGCTCCCATGAGTCCATTCTTAAATTATTTTATGAGATTTAAGAGTGTCAAAATGGAAACCCGATTTCCTCTGTATCAAAATCATTTATGATAAGCTTAACTTTTTCTCTAAAGCCATAACATTTGATATTAAATATATGATTCTTACAGTTTGGGTGAAACAGTTTAAAAGCAGCCACACCAGAATTCATTTTTCTATCATCACATAAATACAGTAATTTATTTGCAAAGTGTTATCATTACTAACTTGCCACCAGACAAGAAAGCAAGACAAATCCTCATTCAGGCTGTTGTATTTAGCTAAGCGAGATTTAAATGGACTTGTAAGTGAAACATTCCTTTATACAAAGTTGAAATTTGTGTATTAAAAGGCTATGATTCAAGAAATATCTAAGACTGCTTATATAAATGCAATCACGTGGGGTTGGAGGTGTTAGCAAGTTAGAGCCTGCAGACATAAACGGCTAAACATTTTACAATATAAATATAAGTAACTGATCTGAAAAATAAACAAATAAATAACTGATCCGCTTGCTTTTTCTTTATCAACTCATTCATTACATGTAGACTTCATCTTTCAGTGTCTGGGTTAATAGTTCAGAACAGTAACTTTATAATACTAGAATGTTATGTGATAGTGTAGTTAACTTTACTGTAAATAATGGTGAATGGCTGCTGATGAGTAGTTTCCTATTTTTATATATTTATTGATCATGTGGCAGTGGAAGACAACGAACTCTCAGTTCTCTCTCACCATGTGGGACCTCGGGTAGGCTGTCAGTCCTCAGGACAAGTGCCATCACCACGGAGCCACCTTGCCATCTCCTTAGTTTTACATTTGAAAAGGAAAGAAGAAAAGGCCTAACACAAGCGAACACAAGACCTATACCAAAATAGTCAACATTTCAAACACAGTTCAGAACAGCAGAGATTAAAAACAAAAATGCCCAGCCAGTGGTGGGCCGTATGCCTTTAATCACAGCACTCAGGAGGCAGAGGCAGGTGAATCTTTGCGAGTTCAAGGCCAGTCTACTCTATAAAGTGAGTTCCAGAACATTCAGAGCTGTTACACAGAGAAACCCTGTCTCAGAAAAACAAAAAAGGGTTAACTAACTAACTAACTAACTAACTAAACTCTCAAAAAGGGAAGAAAACATGGCACAGAGAATCATAGTAAGAATGGCATCGGGCCAGGGCGGTGGTGGCGCACACCTTTAATCCCAGCACTCAGGAGGCAGAGCCAGGCGGATCTCTGTGAGTTCGAGGCCAGCCTGGGCTACCAAGTGAGTTCCAGGAAAGGCGCAAAGCTACACAGAGATGGCTCAGAGGTTAAGGGCACTGGCTGTTCTTCCAGAGGTCCTGAGTTCAATTTCCAGCAACCACATGGTGGATCACAACCATCTAGAATGAGATCTGGTGCACTCTTCTGGCATGAAGGAAGAATACTGTATAATATATAATATATAATACTGTATAATAAATAAATAAATCATAAAAAAAGAACAGCATCACCTGCAACCCTGAAGCTGAAGAGCAGAAGACATTTTCAGCCAGTTTGCGAAAGTGACTCCCCATTTATCCTTAATCAAGAAAATACTAGAGTGGAGGGGCAGCTAAGAGCCCAGAGCTATAAGGAACTCAGAATGAAGTCAGAAGCAGCATCCCTAGAAAGTAGCTGTACAGAGGCCTAGAAAGTATCACTGCCAAAGCAGATTACAACCACTACCCAGAAATGACTTATCAAAAACCAGTAATGCAATTGACATGGGCTGGGGAAAGATGGTTCAGTGAGTAAAAGCACTTGCTGCACAAGCCCCCAGTTCAATTCTCCAGAAGTCACTTCAAAAGCTGGGTGTAGTAACTCAGGCCTGTAACCCCAGCTGGGGCTGGGGGATGGAGGTGATAAGTGGGTGCCTGGAGCTTGGTGAATGCTAACCTAGCTCTAGGTTCAGTCAGTCTCAAAGAATTAAAGTGGAGAGTGGATAGAGCAGGCATCCCAATGGCCTATGGCCTCCAGACAGGCACATTCACATAATAAACACACTCACACACCCACTCAGTTATAAACTAATATGTCTTGTACCTCAGCCACAGATAATATCTAAAAGCTGAGTAATTTTATCCATACACTAAAGCAAAACATTTCAAATGAATAAAACTAGACAATTAAAAATGTAAGTGAGGATAGTGAGGAAAGCCAAATCCTATCTTCCTCCTACAGTAAAAAAGTTGGAAAGAGCCAAACCTGGGGAAAAAGAGAATAGGAATATTGTGTTAGCTAAAAACAATAAATATGGAAGGAGCCAAAAGGGCTTCAAATCTTTTTTATGGTCATCAGAAATTGGAGTTAGTGTGGAAGAGACGGCTCAGTGGTCAAAAGCTCTTGCTGCTCTTGCAGAGGACTACTGTTCACAGCCTTTACTTTTTAAAATTCTATGTGGTGCTCTTTAAATAAGTAAATTCTGTAACATTAAAATAAACTCAAATTACTCTTCAAATTTCAACTTAATTAGCACATACTTACAGGGTTTTTTTCCATCTGGTGGAAAAAATATTACTATAAAACTTAAATAAGTTTCAAGAATTTCAAGATCCTTACTGTACACCAGCAACCTTTAAGAAAACACTATTGAACATGTGCTGTGGGATGTTCTGTATGGCAAATGTGTTGCTCTGATTGGTCAATAAATAAATCACTGATTGGCCAGTGGCTAGGCAGGAAGTGTAGACGGGACAGGGAGGAGAATAAAGCTGGGAAGTGGAAGGCTAAGTTAGAGAGACACTGCCAGCCGCCACAATGACAAACAGCATGTGAAGATGCCGGTAAGCCACGAGCCATGTGGCAAGGTATAGATTAATGGAAATGGATTAATTTAAGCTGTAAGAAAAGTTAGCAAGAAGCCTGCCACGGCCATACAGTTTGTAAGCAATGTAAGTCTCTGTGTTTACTTGGTTGGGTCTGAGCGGCTGTGGGACTGGCAGGTGAGAGAGATTTGTCCTGACTGTGGGCCAGGCAGGAAAACTCTAGCTACAAACATGTGTTCAAAAGTAGAACCTACAAGATTAAAAGCTTGAAAGAAAAATGGGTTCACATGTTCCTATATTACTAGCCCCACTAATTTTCATTCTAATTCCACAAAAGGCCTTCAAAATTCAACAAAAAGCGGAGAAAAGACAAGAAGCTCTAGACAAGACAATTCTAAGAAAGCTTCCTTTCCTTTTCTTGCACAGGTGGTACCTACTTCCCCTAGAAACAGAGTAACACGGAAGAAATCCGTAACTCTTTTACTACAACAGGCTACATTATCTCTACAGGAACAGTTTGTACAGTGTTCCCACCCTCCCCAAGACTTTTCTTCTTTAAGATAACAGCATTCCTGCGAAAACTCATCTCACACTCTCTTGTAAGTCTGTACTACCTTCATCACATTCCTTAGTACACATTCCAGTTTGTTAAGGCACCTCTGAAAATAAGCAACCATAACAGAAGGGTATAATTACCACCGTCTCTTTAGAAAAGATTTATGGTATTAATCAAAAGGATTAATACTTTACTGAGAAGTCTTAAACAAATTACCTTCAAACTTTTTTTGCTTGTTTGTTTTTCGAGACAGAATTTCTGTGTAGCCCTGGCTGTCCTCAAACTCACAGAGATTGGCCTGCCTCTGACTCCTGAGTGCTGAGATTAAAGGTATAGACTACCGTCTCCCAGCAATACACATCACACCCTGTGTTTTACACAATTCGAACAAGTTTACTGTCCCCGCTATAAAGTAATCTTTTTTCTTTTCATCATGGAAAGTCAGGTGTCTCTGGAGCAACAGTTCTCTGTACAAAGGCAGTGAAAGGAAGTCATAAAGACTATGCAACTGATGAAGTTCTCAAAAGTTATAAATGACTCATCTTTTTATACACACAGTGGAGAGTAGGGGTAGTTGTCTGTGCTTCACCCCTGCAGTACTGCCCCTAGTAGGCAGCAGGTAACTGCTAGGTAACTGCCCCTACCCAGGACTTGGCCGAGACGGGGACTCCTTAAGATCTGAGATGCGAATGTGCTCGCTCTCTTGCCTACCTCATGATCCTGGATGCTGGATCGAAGACCAAGTCAGAGTTCTCCAGAGAACCACTTTGGACTGCACCTCACCTCTCCTGGATCCCTTAACCAATCCCTTTGCTTGCTGTAAGTTTACCCAAAACAAACCTCTTTGGACTAGCAGATAAATTAAGTGGAACTGCCTCATTAATTTTCACTATAGTAGAGAAATTCTCATTGTGCTCCCTAGACTTTCATTACTTTGACCATTTGAAATGGAAAAATACACAATGGGAAGAAACTGGGGGTAAAGATATCCAATCCCAAAGTTGTCCTTAGGAGTTTCTCACAAATGTATCATGTATACCTCATTAAAAAAAGATCGGCTGGAGAGATGTCTCAGAGGTTAAGAGCACTGACTGCTCTTCCAGAGGTCCTGAGTTCAATTCCCAGCAACCACATGGTGGCTCACAACCATCCGTAATGAGATCTGGTGCCCTCTTCTGGCCTGCAGACATATATGCAAGCAGAACACTGTATACATAACAAATAAATCTTTAAATAAATAAATAAGATCAAAAAGATCAGTCTAGATTTGTTTGTCCCTTATCCCACCTGCTGAAAACCCATGTTTTGACTTCCATGCAGTGTCTAACTCAATGGGCATCTATCTGATGGTGAGACATCCTTCCAGCTAAATTCTACACTGGTTAAGAGCTGTCTGGAGCCAGGCATGATGGCACAAACTTGTAATTCCAGAAGCTAAGGAAGAAGTATGGCAAGTTCAAAGCCATCCTGGCTATATGGTGAACCACAGTCTCAGAAAAAAGAAAAAAAAAGGCAAACTGTTTCTCAAATGTGACTGTTTTATTTTGCCTAAGCCTTCACTAAACAATCTATATGTTTTTTGTTTTTTCAAAATAATCTCATATTACTTACGAATTCCACTCTTGGCAGTCTGCACAAAACAAATAATTCCATCCCAAACTAGTCCTTAGGTCCTACACAGTGACTCACCAATAATTCCAGCACCCAGGAGATTGAGGCAAGAGGACTACTTCTAGCTTACAGCCAGTGTGGACTACAAAATAACAAGAACAAGAGGCAGGATGTGGTAGCACATGCCGGTGACCCAGCACGTGGGAAGGAGTGGTAGCAGGATCAAAAGAGTTCAAAGCAGGAGTTCAAAGTCATCCTTAACCCCACAGTGAGTTTGAGGCCAACCTGGATGTCATGAAACCCTGTCTCCAACAACAAAAAGTAATCCCACATCCTAGCCTCAGTCCTGGAGAGTAAACACAGAGCCATGCTCAGTTAGAATCCCAGTCCCATGAAGTCAAGTTTTTACTGCTGTTTACAGTTTATGATTTGTACCTGTTCATAACTTAAGTATTCTATAAAGAGAAAGTGAGAAGCAAACCAGTAAGTCAGTTCATGCCTAGTGTGTCTCCCTAACTGAACTGCATCTAAATTGCAAGTTTCAGAATTTGCATTGAGTCATTCTGAATGAGCACCATCTGAGCATACAAGACAGAAATCTGGAGAGAAACAAAAAACAGGAGAGATTAGCTGAGTCCAGTAGTATCAGCAATAAATGGTGGCTTTGTTTAAACAAAGATATTGTTAAGGAAATGATAAAAGACAGGTTATAAGTCGGGAGGTGTTGGCGCACGCCTTTGATGCCAGCACTTGGGAAGCAGAGGCAGGCAGATCTCTGTGAATTTGAGGCCAGCCTGATCTATAAAGAAAGTTATAGGACAGTCATGGCTACACAGAGAAACCCTGTCTCAAAAAGTTTTTAAAAGGGTAGGTTATTATATTTATTATCCTAGAATGCAGAACTCATGGCAGACACCAGTTACCTATACAGTGACACTGCGCTAGAGAAATCCAACAACAGCCAACATGCCTTATCTCATACTTGCACCTCCACTGCTTAGCCCTCGTCGCAAGTACAGTATGTGTTCAGTAAGTTAGTACAGTACATGTACTATTCCCCTTTAACAGCCACGAGCACACACAAAAAGTCTGCCATCACAAATTTAAAATCAGAAGCCAAGGGATGGATCCAAGCCAACATGCACATTATACCATATCATCTACCTAAGAAATACATAATTATTATTCCGTTCTTCCTAATTGTTTTCCAGCATTATGGCTTTTCAAAGATAAACATCCTCAGGAGCTAGTTTCTCCAAATGCTACAGCTGCAGCATCACAATTTCTTTGCAAGAATCTGAGGCTGGAGCATGCACAGGGCACTAGCTCAAGGTAGCTAGTGACTGGCGGACCCACCTGGACTCCTTTGCAGTTTGTGGTTCCAGGAGCTGAGGGCAACCATCTTTTCAGATGAGGGCATAAAATATCATTTAAACCCAATCAGCAAATTGCCTTCATATTTTTGAGTCAGTTTTCAGGTTACAGCCCAAAACTTGGATCTGACAGACTCTGATGAAGGCGCTTCTTATATCAGTGTCTAACTTTCTGTTTCCGATCCCTTTTGTTAGCAACACCAACTGGGCATCTATTGTGTACCAGACATTGTATGAGGTTCTATCTCTTTAGTACGGAAAACCAATTTGCAATAGAAACTTTTATTCTCACTATTTCATATACGAGAAACTGCTGAGTAGATATTTTCAGTATTAATTACAGGGCTTTTAGAGGCAAAATGAAAAGCAGTGTCACTTAGCTCGTTAAGTACTCCTCTCTTCCACTACAGGAAAGCTGCTGCTACCTGGAACTTGTCTTTGAAGATCTTCCCTCAGACATCAACTCTTCTGTGAAGTCTCCAAACCAACCTTCATATATTCCAAAGACAACACACTCATGTGAAAAAAAAAATCCCTTAAAATAAAAATTATACTGGGAGCCCAGAGACAGCTCAGTGGCACTTGCCACCAAGCCTAATGACCTAGTTCAAACTCCAGGATCCACAGGATAAAAAGAGAGAGCTGACTCCCTCAAGCCGTCCCTGGATAGCACCTAAGCCACACAAGTGTTATGGTGCACACAAATACATGTATGCACATGTGCACAAAAAAATAAATGTCTGCATGTGTGTGTGCAAACAATATAAACAAGTATAACTTAAAAAATTATACCAATAAGCCTGGCGATGGTGACAAATGCCTTTAATCCCAGCACTTAGGAGGCAGAGGCAGGTGGATCTCTGTGAGTTCAAAGCCAGCCTGGTCTACAGAGCGAGATCCAGGACAGACACCAAAACTACACAGAGAAATCCTGTCTCAAAATAATCAATCAATAAATAAATTATACAAATGTAAACATGTATGTATCCCAACCCAAAGAAAGGCTCAAATGAATCAAAGGACCTCGTGTTTGGAAGACGCAGGACATACTTCTTAAACATATATTAAAAGTAAAGTACAATTTAAATAAATTGGACTATTAGTTTAAGTTTGGAACTGAAGTTGCATAGCATAAGTGACTTTAATGTTCTAATTCTATTTCATTTATAAGTGAAAACCATGAACCACACATACTATCTCGACTACTTGCTATGCAGCTGTGGCAAACTCGGAGTGTTTCCCTAACCACAAACCTGAAAGTAACCTTTGGGGCTCTCTTACCATCCTACACGCAAGTTCAGCACAGCATCCAGTCACTTTTCTTAATGCTTTCCCATTTTCTCCATTAGAACGTAAATGCCAAGAGAATAAGGCCATCGCACCATCTATCACTATACCCTAAAGCTTCATACAAAACCTAGTAAGTACCACCCAAAATAATGTAATGCTCATGGAGAACCAAGGACGCCTCCTTGCCCAAATTTAAAACTGGGGAAATAAGAGCCAATACCGGACTATTAGCCATGTCCAACATTTTCCAACTTTTTAGAAATTCGTTTTCCCACGTGTGATGTACTTTGTTATTAATCTCATAGTAAAAAATGTGGGGCACACGCCTTTAATTCCAGCACTCGAGAAGCAGAGCCAGGCGGATCTCTGTGAGTTCGAGGCCAGCCTGGTCTACAGAGTGAGATCCAGGACAGGCACCAAAACAACACAGAGAAACCCTGTCTCAAAACAAACAACACACACACACACAAAAAAAAAAACAAAACAAAAATGTGGGGAGGGCCGGCAAAAAGGCTCAGCCGGTAAAAGTGAACCCAAATATACAAACTCATGGCCCACACAGACACACACACACACAGACACACACACACACACACACACACACACACACACACACACACACACGGTAATATTTTTTATAGGCCCGAGGAATATTAACTACAAGCTCATTAATAGCTTATATTGAATTCAAGATGCTAGCATATAAGAGCATCTAATCAGTTCCACAATTACCTGCAGTCTTTCCAAATGAAATTTCACAGGAACGAAAATTCCCATCAATACACAGCTTAAACAGAGAAGCCCAGACATAAGCCATCTGAGTAATTTCAGGCGGCCATCTCCATCTTCTTCTTTCTCAATATTGTCTTCCCTGTCCCCATTTCTCCACACAGCCAGGACACTTGGGTACTGATCCAGAAATCTCATCGAACTCCTGATACCCCATTTCCAGTAAAACTTTCCCCAACTCACAACACTTGGGAGCCATGCAGCCACAACCCTCGTGCTTTGGCTGCCTCCCCCCTTCACGCAATCCATCCTCTAGGGAGAACTTTTCTCCTGGGATTCACGTCTCAACCATCAAGGCGTTTTAACGCGGATCCCCGCGCTCCCCCGCCCCCCCCCCACCCCGCCCCACGTCCCAGTTACCTAGGTGCTGTGGGCCGCAGAAAGATTCCCCAAAGTCTGGGCGTCCCGGCTCTCTTCCCCTCCCACCGGCTCCGCGGCGTCGGGCAGATGCCGGGTTCCAAACCGCGGAGCTGCGGGGCGCACAAAAGGCCCCCCCCCCCCCGGTACGGCCCCTCTTGGGGCTGCTCCCGGCCTGCGTCCCCCCCCCCCCCAACCCCACCCGGAGGCCGGGCCACGCCCGCTGTGCGGCGGGAAGACGACGGGATGCTCCGCCGGGCCGGCCGCTCGCTGACCCCGACCCCACCCACGCCCCACCCACGCCGGCCACCCCAAGGCTGGACCCTCGCCCGGCCAAAGCCAAAGAGCAGCATCCTGGACCCCGAGTCCTAGGGGACGACTGGCCGTATCCCAACGGGGGGCCCCGCCGTCCCGGCCCGGTACCCTGGGTCGTCCTCCCCGTCCCGTCCCCCCCCCCCCCCCGACCCGCACTCACAGGCTGCCGGAGCAGGAGGTGCACACGAACGAGCCGACCGTCATGTTCACGTAGGTGGGGCCGCGCTGGTCGCAGTCGAAGCACTTGCGGTTGTGCGGCAGCCCCGTCATGTCCCGCAGCATCTTCAGGTGCTTCTCCTCCTGCTTCCGCTTCGCGCTGGCCGCCATGGCCGCGGCTCCGACCGAGGAGGCCGGCAGGGCCGGGAGCCGGCGGCGCTGCCGGAGGGGCGGGGGGGGGGGGGGGCCCGCGCTCCCTCCCACGGGCCGCCCTGGCCGCGGCCGCCGCCGCCTCCGCCCTCCCCTCCCTTCCTCCCTCCGCCCGCCCGCGCGGGCTCCGGCGGCTCCGGCGGCTCCGGCGGCTCCGGCGGCTCCGGCTCCGGCTCCGGCCTCGGCCTCGGCCTGCGGCTCGGTCCCGCTTCGGCTGGACGAAGCGCGGACGGACGCTGCGCAGCGCGCGCCCCGACCGGTCACACCAACCGGCCGGCCGGGACAACCGCCGCCGCCGCCGCCGCCGCCGCCACCTTCCCGACTTCTCCTAAGGGGAAAAAGACGAGGCGGGGGGTGGGAGGGTGGGGGGGTGGGGAGGGGGGGGGAGCGGCAAGAGGGAGGCCCGCCTCGGGCGGCCAGCGGCCAAGTGCGAGCCGGCGCCCTCTGCTGGCCGGGAGGAGTCACTGCGGGCCACGCTGCGGCAGGGGGGTCGAAGCTGGGCGGGGTAGGAGGGAAGGCACAAGAGTGACAATAAATAAACAGACCTTATCCTCCCTGGGTGCCTGTACGTGCTCAGCGCTTCGCCGAGGCTATCATCCTCCCCGGCAGACACGTTTTCCCGAGAGCTTCTCGCTGCTTTAGGGGTAACACCCCCAATTCCTCACTAGCCTGGTCGACTTCTTGCGCTTCATTCGCTCAGCCACTCTCGACTTAGGTTTGTTCCCTCCAGCACAGCTTACTTCTTTTTCCTTCCTGCCCTTGCTGTTCTCTGTGCTGCCAGCAAGGTTTATCAACTTCACCGCTCCTGGCATTTTGGAAGAGTTTAGTTTTGGCGTCGGGGCTGTCCTAGCTAGGTAGGTGGTAAGGCATGGTTTGACGGGAAGCATGCCTGGCCTCTAGCCACTAAATGCCATGACTACGTGGCCCCTCTCTTTCCAAAGTACGGCAACCAAAAATCCTTACACATTACCAGATGTCCAGGGAGGTTGAGAGGAGTGGGGACGGCTCCCGCTTGGGCAAGGTCAGATACGTTGGTCACATGAGGTCCCTAAGGTTGCAGCTCAGCCCTCTGAGAGCTGCTCTCTTTCAAACTAGTATGTTGTATTTCATAGCGGCAGTCATTCGAAGTACTGCTCCCCCCCAGCTCTAGACTCTCCCTTCAGGCTCCCAGTGGTCTACTCCTTGTGTTTCTTCACTGCTCCGCTCATAGGCCTCCCAGAAGCGAGACTCGGAGCTCCTTGTTTGTGGGATGAATGAATGTATCAGTTGATCTTCATGGCTGAGCTTTGAGCTAAGTATGATTGGTGTTTCCATGCCACCAATTGGGAGTATGGTGCCCTGGGCTAAATTTACTCCGGTATTCACCTGCGGAAGCCAGAGTTCCAAATCTGTCCAACTGCAACACCCCCACCTCCATCTCTGCTGGAAATCACGACCAGCGCCTAAGGCAGTGTTTCTCAACCTGTGGGTCTTGACCCTTTGGGCGTCCAAAGACCCTTTCGGAGGGGTCACCTAAGGACATCGGAAAACACCTTTTTACATTGTGCTTCATAACAGTAGCAAATTACACTTAGGAAATAGCATCAAAAATAATTGTTATGTTGGGGTGTGTCGACAATATGAGGAACTATACTGAAGGGTCGTGGCATTAGGAAGGTTGAGAACCACTGCCCTAAGGTATGAGAAACCTTCTGTGCCCTCATCTCTTTTTATAGGAGTATGGGGAGACTCGAAGAGCTGAGTTACAAAATTCTCTTTGCCTCCACCACAGATGGGGTAGTTTTCACAGGAGAATTCAAGGTTTTTTTTTTTTTTTTTTTTTTTAGCTGAAAGTGCTGAGTCAGCCCAGGGAACCCACAGGTTAACATAACATTATTAATAATAGTAAATACCTTTATTATTAAAAGAAGGGGCCAGATGGGTTGACTAATGCGTTTCTGAACCGTTTCCTTTATGAAAAGTATTAAATATCCCCGAGCCCCTGGTTCACCTTCAACTATCAGCTTTATTGACACCCTTATCGGATCTCTATCCCCTTTCCTAATTTAAAGTAAAGTGTAGCTATTATATCGTTTATCTTAAAACGCATCCACTTATATCACTGAAAAAAATAATTTCAGGACTGAGAATGTAGCTCGATGGCAGGGTGCTTACAATGTATAGGCAGGCCCTGGGCTAGATCCCTAAGCCCTGGAAAAGCGAGACACTCCCCCCACCCCCCCATCCCCCATTCCTGCTTCCTGTAACTACAGTACAACTAACACACACAGAAGGTTAGGAATAAATTCTTGAAAACCATCAAATGTCCCACCACTCTTGAAGTTAGCACTAATATCAGCAATTTTTTAGAGTTTTATACTTTCCCTGGCTCCTTAGTGTACAATTGTAGTTAGGTAGTATCGGAGCACGGTCCAAGACTGGAGTCGTTATGAGATTTCTGAGTGCTTGTAAGAAACTGAGACACGAGTCCTGTGACTTCAGGTTCTTCAAAAACACAGAATTGTTCTTGGAATGTATTTCTGTGCTCTTCCCAGGTGTAACTTATAGGAGTGAGTTTACTTCCATTACTCCCGTTACAAATGGCTATTGTTATTTGTTCATGTGCCTCTATGGAAAAAACATTTTCACCACTTGAGGCTTGTCCACCACATGCTGCTTGCCCTTGTGACTGGACACTTTACTCATATGACTGTTTGTTTGTTTGTGTTTGTGTTTGTGTTTGTTTTTTTCAAGACAGGGTGTCTCGGTGTATCTTTGGCTGTCCTGGAACTCACTCTGTAGACCAGGCTGGCCTCCTGGGTGTTGGGATTCAAGGTGTGTACCACCACTCCTGGCTTCATGTGACTCTTCTTAACCTTCAGCGTGTAAATTGTCTGATACTCTGAATAAAGTTGACTATTGCATGAGATTTTAGTCTGCGTCATTTATCAGCTCCCTTCTACTAGACACCACCACTTCTGGAGAGGTGAACAGATAGTATATCTCATGCTGTCTCCTTCTGCTCACATTCTCTCTCTTTTTGTTCTATAGTCTCTCACTGTGTCATTTAACATACCCCCCATTCTCTCTTTTGGACAAATAGGAGGTTAGATCTAGTTTGTATCCGGTTCAGTTTTAGGCAAGAACATTATGTTTTTCCATTAGGAGGTGCATAATGGGGGTGTCTTTTCAGGTTAGCAGGCACTGACAGTTAATGCCTACAATCATTGACAATTACAAAATAGTGGTTTTCTGGTTCTGTCATTCCCATGTCTTCATTTTTTTTTTTTAGCTGAAATATTTCTGTTAAAATGGTCAAAAGACAAAGCCAGGCATTGGGATGCATCCCTTTAATCCCAGCACTCAGGAGCCTGAAGCAGGTGGGTCTCTGTGAGGTCAAGGCCAGCCCAGTCTACAAAAGAGAGAATGGGGGGTATGTTAAATGACACAGTGAGAGACTAGAAAAAAAGAGAGAGAATGTGAGCAGAAGGAGACGGTATGAGATATACTACCTGCTCACCTCTCCAGACGTGGGGGCATGTAGACTGGCAAGTTCCAGGCCAGCTAGAACTACATGATGAGATGATGCTTCAATCAATCAATCAATAAGAAAAACTTCCCCACATCTACTAATTGCATGTCAGAAAGACACAATAAATGTTCCTTGCCTTGCCTTTACTCTCAGATTTCCAAGGTCCTCTATTGGATTCATTTCACCTTCTCGCAGTGATCACAGTTTTTAAGTACCATTGTATATAATCAAGAATCAAGATACATATTCGTGATCCATTACACATCACCATTGCTGACATCATCTAGCCATTGGCCAATGAGAGACTCTGAGTAGGCTCTTGTGTATTTTGACAACACCTAGACTTAGGATCCACTAAATTGTGTTCTGGCAAGAGCCTGGACTGACCAAAAGATGAGGGCATGCAGAGTACAAGGCTATCAGAACAGAACAAAAAATGCTGACCCCATTCTAACTGGAGAACACCACCATAGTCTCTTACTCATTACCAGCAAGTGCTTCCCATGCCTCCACCCCCCACCCCCCTCACCCCCACCTCCAACCCCCACCCCCATGCACTCCCCGCCCACAGCTTTCGGCTTCTATTTGTGCAGGGCTCCCTTGTTATTTGTCGGCCTTCTGGGGTGTCTCATCTGACAAAGACCATAGGAGGACGGGTGGATAGCAACAGCTAATATAGCTAGTTAAATGAGTGGTTGTATGTGTTGCGTGTTTGTTGTTGAAGAGGCAGGAGTGATGATTTCCAAAGGATAGATGTCGAGCCAGCTGAAATTCATGTGAAGTCCACGGTGTCTTGTCTAAGAACAACTGGCCCATTGAATGTTAGGTAATGCCTATGATCGACATCAATTTCCACTTCAGAGAATAACTTGTAGGAAGGCTTTATTTATTGTCATTCCTTTAACCCTCTCAAGAACACCAGAGATATTATTATCTCATTTTATGGACAAGGAAGCCA